TTTAAAAATATAATTTAGAATTGAGCACTTAAAACTTCAAAAATTATTGTATTTATTTAGTATCAATTATGTTTTAAATTTTATTCTAGGATGCAAGAGTACAGTAGAATAAATGCTTATTTTGTAGCATTCAAGTGTAATAAAACTTTTAAGTCCCTTTCAAATTATAATGAAAAATTGATAGCATGATATAAATCAGGATTGGAAAGAGATAGCTGGGTTGAGACACGAATTACACATGGCAGAGGTAGACCTTGAGCTGTTTGGAAGATGCATAGGAATGAAAAAAGTGAAAATTGGAGAGGGCACTTTAGGTGGGTAGAGTGACATAAGGTAAAACTCATTATGGAGATGAAATGGGACACTCTGAGCACAGTGAGTAGGCCAGCTTGATTAGAAGAAAAGATTTTAAGTAGATAGATGGAAAAAAAAAGGACGGAAAGGGATAGTTGAGATTAGATTACTGAGGGATAGAATTTCAGATTGAGAAATGTAAGCATTATTTTGGTAGGTAATAAAGGGAGCTCTGGTAGCATAGTGGCTAAGACACTTGCCTGCTAACCAGACGGCTGGCGGTTCAAACCCACCAGCCACTCCTCGGAAGGAAGGTTGGGCAATCCTACTTCCGTAGTGATACTGCCTCGGAAACCCAAGGAGGGGTCGCTATGAGTCGGGGCTGACTCGACGGCACATAACAACAACAACAACAAGAGGTTTACTGATAGTTGTCTTGTTTTAGTTTTAATATGTGAGTGATTTAAGGTAACTTATGCAGTGCTTGGGAGCTCTGGTAGCATAGTGCCTAAGGCACTTGACTGCTAACCAGAAGGCTGGCGGTTCAAACCCACCAGCCACTCCTGGGAAGGAAGATGGGGCAATCTACTTCCATAGTGATACTGCCTTGGAAACCCAAGGAGGGGTCGCTATGAGTCAGGTCTGACTCAACGGCATATAACAACAACAACAATGCAGTGCTTAAGGAGCCCTGTGGCATGACAGTTAAACACTCAACCTGCTAACTGAAAGGTTAGCAATTACAACCTACCGTGTGGCTTCACAGGAGAAAAACTTGGCAATCTGCTCCTATAAAAGATTTTGGCCTAGAAAGACCTATGGGAGCAGTTCTCCTCTTTTACATGGGATGATTATAGCCATAACTGACTCAAAGGCACCTACCAACAACATTCAGTACTTAGGAGCAGCTGCTCAGCCTGCAGTAGAAGTTGGCTTTGGAGAGTCCACTGGATATTGGAAGCTATGGAGACATGTTAGTAAATTCTCACAAGAGTCCAGATAGAAGATGATAAAGAGTCTGAACTAGGGACAAGGCAGTGGGGATGAAAAGGAGAAAAATGAATAAAAGGAGAAGTTGAGATAACTTGATGGCTGATTTTCAAAATTTTTGAAGAGACAATAAAGGGAGGAAGGAACCAAAATTGTTAATATATTTTTTATTGAACTTTCATAGCTTTGATTTGGGGGTGACCAAATTTATCAGAAATACTCCTGTCAATAAAAACATTTATCAGTATTTAAAAGTCTGCCACTTACTGGTTTTGATCATTATTATGTTACTACATGAATATTTGTCTTCATCAGCTGATTTCTATATTCACGCAGCAGCCCGTTACTGTCTTTGATTAGCTTTCACAGCTGCCAAAACTTCATGGTATTGTAACATGTTGCAATCAGTGCAGCTGAGTGAGGATTTGGACCTCACATCCTAAGTTTTAAGAGGTAAGTCCTATAAGGTTACCTATGAAAATAAATAGGAGCTCTGGTAGCAGTTCAAACCCACCAGCCACCCAAGGAGGGGACGCTAAGAGTCGGGCCGACTCGACAGCACACAACAACAACATGCAAATAAATATTTGAACACTGTTTACTAATAGAAATTTCATCTCTATTAGTCAAGAGTGTTCAAATACTTATTTGGTACCCAATTATTTATGAAGGACCTCCAGTGGTGTAGTGCCTAAGGCATTTGACTGCTAACCAGAAGGCTGGTGGTTCAAACCCACCAGCCACTTCTCGGAAGGAAGGTTTGGCAATCTACTTCCATAGTGATACTGCCTCGTAAACCCAAGGAGGGGTCACTATGAGTCAGGTCCAACTCCACGTCAGTGAGTTTGTTTTTTTGTTTTGTTTTGTTTCATTATTTACAAATTACTCTTCTCAACAGTACATGGAATACAAACGTAAATAAATAATTCATCATGTGAACCTTCAAGGAAATTACAGTTGTGGGTACAGAAACATAGAATTCTCTTCACTGTCTTTGATTTCAAATAACTGCATTTTAACATTGTGGTGATTCATGACATGACAGGGAACAAAGTGTTTTGTTGGTTAAGATGAATCTGATTCAGATGAAATTTGAACATTATCATCCAAGAGTGGCACTGCTACCTATCTGTAGGAAAATTGATGTATCTGACCAGTCTCCAATCATTTTGAGGCCAGTTTGATTTAGCACAGAGGATATAGATGATAGAGAAGGTTGTTACAAAATAGCTTCATGTACATACAGATTTATTTGCTGGGGTTAATCCTTCTTAGTTTGTTTTTAGATCTCAATGGGAAATGCACTTCTTCCTTAGTTACACTGTTAAGCAACACAGTTCAACCAGTGGTGCTACCACGCTCCTGAACTTGAGCGTTATATATTCTCTTTTCTACTAATTACAGACAAAACTGCCAAAGACATTGTTGGAGGGATGGCTTGTGATTCCACAGATGAGGAATTTGTAATCACATTAACCCTACACAGATTTGCTAAATAAATACCATAAAAGGGGAAACTTGTTCCTTCCTTAGAAAGGGAGATATGATAGATGTCGGGATTTCAGCAAAGCCTTTAAATAATTTTTAATGATCTTTATGAGCAGAGATGGGGACATTTTAATGCATTCAGAACTGATTAGTAACTGATTATGTCCAAACATATCTAATAAATTGATTCTAGAGAAAAATTCCTGTTAGTAAACTTCAGAACCACCCTTTTCCCCAAAAATCAGTCCAACTGCCATTGAGTTGATTTGACACTTAGAGAGCCTGTAGGACAGGGTAGAACTGCCACCATAAGGTTTCCAAGGCTCTTTATGGAAGCAGACTACCATATCTTTCTCCTGCAGAGTGGCTGGTGGGTTTGAACCTTCCTCTTTTCAGATAGCAGCTGAGCTCTTTAGCACTGTACCATGATGGCTCCTCAACTTCAGAAGGTAACTAGAATCATAGACTCTCAAATCAGTGAAGAAGGACTGGGATGTTTCAATTAGGAAAGACAGTGAGGACATAGAAGATAGCTGTTTTCAAATATTTGAAAAACTCATATGTAAGCAGAAAGAGACTTATTCTGTATGATTCCAAAGAAGTATACAAGACCACAAGGAAACATATTTAGTCTCAATATAATGAAAAATCTTCCAGGTAACCAGAGTACTCCAACAAATCATGTCATCTGAGGTGCCTGTGAGCTGCTTCTAAGGTTAAAGAGTGCTGTCAATAGATGACGTTCTGCCCTGGAAACTATCCGTTGAGAAGGGATGCCATACCATGAGAGTCAAACATAAGTAAAGCCTTTTAAAATTTCTCCCAAACCCGAAGTTCTCACTTCCATGATTTTCTAGAAATGCTTTTGTGGGACTTAGATTGTTCCCACCATCATCAATGAAAAACACCTGTCCGTCTTATGACTCTTGTCTACCTTTTCTGCTGTTCATTTTCTCCATGAGGCTATTTTTTTTAAATGAGAGAGAACATTGAGCTCTGAAATGATCAAAATGGAAATGATATTCAGCTCCACATCCCTTATTTATCAGATCCTGACAGAACAATTTTACAGTTTACCTTACACCTGGTTCAGTTAGGAACTTAAATAGAAAAAACTTGGCTAAGATGTCGATAATTCTGCCTTGCCAAAAGAAATAATATGGGTTATGGCCACCTCTTCCTTCACTGAGGAAGATTCTTTAGCTTAGCTTTTGCTGTTAAAGTCTAATGTTCTCCTTATGTTCTCTAATTCTCCTAGGATTGCCTTTGATCCTGGAGAGAGTAATGACTACTAGGCTGTGGTGTACCTGGAGCATAGAATGGTGGCCAGGTTAGCATTTCATTATGGTGAACCCTCATGATTGAACATCTGTTTTGGATTTTCACCATGTACTCTAAGTTTGGCCACCACTGTAGTCTTTCTGGAAGTATTTGACTCTTAACTAGTGATAATGATTCTGGGAAATTTTCTCAAAAGCTGCCCTGGCAGTTATGTTTTCCCAGGTTGCCACCAGAAACTCAGTTCTGTTTTTCATCATGTTGGTTCTTTATCTCTGAAGGTCAAGTTTATTATGATACTTTTTACAAGTATTATTAACTCTTATCTTATATAAAGGGATATAAAATATGCTCCTATTGAAGGTAGGGGAGCCATGGTGGCATAGTGCCTAAGGCATTTGACTGATTACCAGAAGGCTGGTGGTTCAAACCCCCAAGCCACTCCTTGGAAGGAAGATTGGGCAATCTACTTTCATAGAGATACCACCTCGGAAAACCAAGGAGGTGTTGCTATGAGTTCGAAAATGACTGAACAGCAGTGAGTTTGTTTGTTTGTTTTTTTGGTTTATTGAAGGTAGAAGTGGTCAGGTCACTGGAACATACTTGTTTGCCCTGTTAAGAGTGCCACTGCAGTAAATATGACATAACGGAGGAGAGCAAATCTTAGCTTCTATTTTCTGATGGAACAGTTAGGAATGGAATTTGTCTCTTTATTCAATCTTCATATGATTTGACTTGTTAACTACAAAAAAAAAAAAAAAAAATGACTTTTTATACCGTGATTTTGATCACATACTTTATGTTGTTGTTGTTATGTGCCGTCAAGTCGGACCTGACTCATAGCGACCCCTCCTTGGGTTTCCAAGGCAGTATCACTATGGAAGTAGATTGCCTCATCTTCCTTTGAATCATGAAATTAAATGAATAACTTAATGTCCTGCTCATTGCAGCTCTTCATGGTATACCAGGGTTCATTACTGATCAGGAGACCTTGGATAAAACTGACCCTGCAGTAAGTTGTAATTTTATCTCTTTTAAATTCCTTTTGTCCTTTATTAATTATGCTTACATCTTGTGGATATTAGGTACTTTTAAAACATAAAATTGTTTCTTAATTGATTTGTACTAGTGTTTTTCAGAGTATGATCTGAGGACAGGAGCTAATCCACAAACTATTTATTACCAGTCCACACAAGAAGATACAGTGACTGTCAGCATTCAGAAACTTAAGCAATTTCACTTTGCAACAGTAATTTAATTGGATTTTAGCAAATTTAATTAGTCTGCAGTGTCTTGAAAATCTAGATAACACACAAGCCAACAGACAAATGAACAAAAAAAAAAATACCTTCTCACTACGGATAGATTGAGGAGTACTGGTTTATACTTTTCCAATGATAACACTAAAAACTGTTTAGGGTTGGGGGCAAACCCTAAAACCAAATCTATTGCTATTGAGTCAATTCTGACTCACAGCAAACCAATCTTCCCAGAGTCAATATAGGCAATATCAGTTGAATATCCTGAGTGGTTCTTAACCCCAGTGTGATTTGAGGATCTTGGATAGATCAACTGGCCTGATAAACCCTTCCTCTATACCCTGCTAAGATGCTTAAAATCTCTCAGGTTTATCTTTCAGATAAAAATAGATGTATCTAAAAGGCACCTCGTAATATGAAGACTGTCTAGAAATATCCATTCACATCCATCACATATTGGATCCTTTTTTTGAGGTTAGCTTACAGAAGCTGAGAGCCCTGAGGTGCATTCTGATTAAAGGGGTTCCTGTGATGACCAACTCCAAGCACTTAGGTGATGGAGAGGCTGAACTTCTGCATACCTGGACTGCACAGCATGCCCAGCAAAGCCCATCTGGAACCAGCCTTCCTCTCTACTCTCTACCCCCAGTTTCTACCCCATGCTCTAAAAATGCATGCTCTTATTAGAGTTTTACAGTGACAGACAAGGAAAGTGATGAAAAGGAAGACACAGACAAAAGGGAATTGAAGTAGGAGAAAAAGGTAACCATGTAATATGGAAGAGAGAATGAGTGAATTTGGGATTGAAGGATATGTGAAACCATACTTGAAAGGTTTTGTCTTCTAACCCTGTCACCTCTCAGCCTCTTAGGCTGAAATATTTGTGTATGAGATTCTTTCTTTTTCATGTTTTATTAAGTGTGGAACACTTGAATAAAGTTTAATTTTTGTTGTAGTTTTTATGTTGTTCCACTATGGATTGTTGTGGTAAAGGGACCACTTATGTAAGGACACTTTATGCACTTTATGTATGGATGCTGTGGACTATGCAATATATAATAGTAAAGTAATCCTCAAAAATGAGTGTAATAAAAGTGAGCTATTTAAATGCCATGTAACAAATGCTTTATGAATACCTAAGAATATGGACATTTGAACCAAATTGATTTTTAATAGAATGGTTGATTGAAAAACTAGATCCCCAATATTTTCATTAGATATGTTAAATTAGAAACTTGATGGTGCACTCCATCTTATTCCTATTATTTTACCATAGCTCTCTGTATTTCATCCTGTGGAGATGAGAATCACTGTAACACCTGTTTATTGCCCTATTGATGCCCAGACAAAGGAACCTTGACCGTGTCTACTGTAATAGTGTGCACTGATCTTTGTGATCTCTGAGATGAAGTGTGTGTGTCACGGGTCATTAATTTGTTATTTTTTATATACACATGTCATTTCAGGTTAGTTCCCTGCTATCAAAGAGAATTTCATGCTCATAACTTTGGTTAGCTGTAATTTGAGATATTTGCTTGTGAATATCTTGAATAATTATGACTATCTTTACTTGCTTTACAAGGTATTTGCTTTCATGTTATAGTCATCACTACCGCCACCATCATCAAATTAGGATTTGTTGAATAACTTTTCTGTAAATTGGATAAATACCCTACTATAACATAGATTTTTGGATTTAATACAAAAGTGGCCCAAGAGGGGGTAGAGCACTTAAATATATCATGTACTTATTGTGTGCCAAGAATGTTACATGCATCACATCAAACCTTCCTAACAAGTCTCTAAAACCAAAACCAAACTCAAACCCATCAAGGAGGATACAACTCATAGTGACCCCTCCTTGGGTTTCCAAGGCAGTATCTCTATGGAAGTAGATTGCCCAATCTTCCTTCTGAGTAGTAGCTTGTGGGTTTGAACCACCAGCCTTCTGGTTAGCAGTCAAATGCCTTAAGCATTACGCTACCAGAGCTCCTAACAACTTTGTAGACTAGAATTTTTATCTTCATTTTCTAAATGACAAAATTGAGTTTCATAGAGTGTAAACCACCAACCCAGAGTATAACAATGAGGCTGAAATTAAAACCCAAGTCTTTAGGATTCTGGAAGTCTTGTTCTTTACATGACCCTACCACTCACATGTTTTTAAATATGTGTTAAATGCTTTGTTCTTCATCTATCTCTATCAGTATTTTATATGGTTTTACTTCTTTCATGCGACTTAGGACACCTTAATACCATCTCTAGATATCAATGCATATGAAGCATTTAGATCAACAACAAATATGAAATAAATTTTAGAGTAGTAGAGACCACATCAAAATGAGAAAAGAGGAATTTTTAGCCTGAGGTCACTGTAGGTTTTGAGAATTTTTTTCTTTTTTTTTAATCTGTAAAATGAGAAAGTATGGTTACATGATATTTAATCTAGCTTTAAAATTATATAAATCTACACCTAAAACTCTAAAAATATTCTTGAAATAACCTATTTTATTTTACCTGTGAACAATAAAGATTTTTAAAAGAAATTTTATTTTCTCTGAAATTGATGGTTTGAATTTTAGAAGATGAAAATAAACTTGGCCTGATTGCAAGGATTTATGATAATAATATCAACAACAAAAACAAATGGTGATAATAATATGCCTACTTTTAATCCATCTATTCCCTTTAGCCCTGCAACTCTGCAAACTATTGAGTGGTTGTCCCCATTTTACAGATGAGAATATTAGAGCTCAAATAATTAACTTGACTGGGGTCACAAATGCTATTAGAGGTAGTCTTGTGTTTAAAACAGGTTTCCATTATCCTTCCATTATTTTAAAGGCAGGCCCCATCCCTGGCAGTCCATGAACTTCCTAGGTGGTGATGACATGTGGCTCGGGAGATTGACTGCTTGGGAGCTCTGGTGGCATAGTGCCTAAGCATTTGACTGCTAACTAGAAGGCTGGCTGTTCAAACCCACCAGCCTCTCCTTGGAAGGAAGATTGGGCAATCTACTTCTGTAGAGATACTGCCTTGGAAACCCGAAGAGGGGTCGCTATGAGTCAGATATGACTCGACAGCAGTGAGTTCAGTTTGGTTCTGTATCTTTACACTTAACAGCAGATATGTTAATGAAGAATAGATCTGTCCCCACTTGTCTCCAAGAGAACTCTTCCTCCTTCCCATGAAGGAAGGCATCAGATCCTTGAGTAGAATGGAAGAATCAATCCCAATTGTTTAAAGGCTATCCTGGGTTCTACATGTAGCTTCTACTATTGAAAAGAGAGACATTTAGGATGAATGCAGCAACATTTCTCATTAAACTATGAGTAGAAAATTTGGAGTAGCTTTCCTAAGGGACATACTAAGATAAACATATAAAAAGACTTCAGAAATTATTTGGATGAGATTGTGCATTATACTGATATTTAGCAGATTTTAAGGAATACTTGGTGTATTAGTTTGATGTTTTCTAGAGAGGAGAGGTAGAGTTAGTACATCTCCTTGATTGAAACTGAGCTTCATCACCAAGTAATAATAACAATAATGAAAATAACAACCCCATGTAATTGACAGGTTATTCTCTGCCAGCCAAGGTGCTGGTCACTTTGATACATTCTAATTCTCCTGATGGCTATACTAGGGAAGAACATTATTTTCTCAGTTTTGAAGATGAGGAAGCAGAGGCTCAGAAAAGCTAAGTGTCCTGTGGAAAGTCATATGGCGTGTGATTTAGACTGACCTGTCCACAGCCCATAAAACCAAACCAAAGTAGTTGCCGTTGATTCTGACTCATGGTGACCTTTTGTATGCAGAGGGGAACTGTTCCATGTGATTTTTAAGACTGTGATGTTTTGGAGGCAGATCACCAAGCCTTTCTTCCAAGGCTCCATTGGATTTGTTTATGCCACCAGTCTTTGGTTATGCTTGAGCACTTAACCATTTGTGCCACCCCAGGACTCCCCAGGGCTCATACTCTCTCTCTAAGAACACCTGTATACACTTTACTGAAGTTCCCTTTTATTAACATTTTACCCGGTTTCAAAACCCATACTCTTTGCTTATACTACTGCCCCACAAAAAGTATCTTCATTTAATTTTAATGTCCAGGTCTTAGTACATCTCATGTTCTGTTCAGTGTAGCCCTTCTGCTCCTGTAAACTTGCAATAGCTTTGAAATAGAAGAATCTGTGTCACACTGCAGATATATAAAAAACATACCTGAGACTAATACCTAAGTATATAAATTGTGCTAAAGTGAGAAATGACCACTTTTCAAAAATAGCTCTTGTAAAAAATTTTTTTGGTGTTGCTGATTATGTTCCAAAGGATATTGACAGAAGTCTGGTGGTGAAAAATAATGCCTCTTGTGTTTTTCTGCCTTGCAGAGTTTTTTTTTTTTTTTTTCCCCCAAGTGGTGTTTTTTCTTTTTTGGTTTGTTTATTTACAAAATTGTTGAGACCAAAATTAAATGCAAGTTACAGTTCCTTAGGCTGTCAAAAGATGTGTCCAGAAGAGGGCAGACTTGCACACTGTAACCATCAGCTGCGTAATTAAGTGATCTGCATGCTGGTGCTGTACACTGGCAATGAAGAGAGCTTTAATAATAAATAAAATACAAGGCGTATTTTTATTTGCTTCAGGATTTCTAATAAGACATCAGATTCAAAAGGCTTACAAGAACAATATACTCAATTCAGTGTATTTGAAATGCAAAGAAAAATATTTGTATCTATTTTTTTTCTCCACAATGGCACGTTTCCTCAATATCACTGAGGTTTTATTTTTATTTAATTTTTCCCCCATGCTAGGGTGTTTTTTCTCCTGCAAGATAGTCACCAGGGGAAATTTCAATGGTGAATCCTTTTAAAGTCAGAGAAATTAAAAAGGTAAAAAGTTTATGTACAATTTATAGTATTAATTAATATGCTAAGCTGTTAAGAGGAGCAATGGTGAAAATCCACTAGCTCTGAACCCAATTCCTGATTGTGCTGAT